CCCATAATTTATCTAGACTTTACGTTAGATGGAATCAAAGAGAATATAAAAAGAGGAAGAAAGTGGATACACAATAAGCTACCGAGTTGGTGTTCACCGCCCCAGTAAGGACATTGTCTAATCTTTCTACGGTGTAAAGCATAACACAATTCTTGAATACCCAGTGGAGTTTTTAAACATCAAAAAGTATATTCCACAATTATTAGGTCTATGTAGTTAAAAGCTCCAATAATTTAAGTTGAAAAGCTCAACTATAAAAAACTACTAGCTGCTTACATGCTCTAAACACAACTTCTTGAAACACTTAATTAGTTTAAACATATGAAGCAAAACATGAAGCACTTTTCTGTTTTCCTTTCTAGCATTTTTGTATTCTATTGTCTTTTTACAATAATCGAAGGAAGAAAATTCCATAGCAGTTGCAAGAAGCATCACAAGGGTTATGGGCATTCTTGTAATTCTACAACCATTTTCAACATAATGTCATTTGGAGCTAAAGCCAGTGGAGTTTCTGATGATTCCAAGGTAAATGAAACTATTTTTTAACAGTGAAACTTGAACTCAAAACTATAAAATTCAAAGACTCGATGAAAAAACTTGTTATAAAATTGTTTCTTATCATGTAATATAATATATATAGAAACTCGTAATGGCATGGAAAGCTGCATGTAAAGTTCCTGAAGGAGTTGTGCAAATTCCGTTAGGTCATAAGTTTCTCATCAAACCTGTAACGCTTCAAGGGCCGTGTACGGGTCATGTTACTTTTCAGGTAACTTTTTCTATTTTGTTTTTGTTATGTAACATGTCAAAAAAGAGAAGGAAAAAAAGATTTTTTTTTTCTGGTATCTAGTGTCTAATATATGTTTAAATTATATTTATAACAGATAGATGGGACACTACTAGCACCGTCGAAAATTGGATCATGGTCAAAGTCAAACTTGTTTCAATGGGTAAATTTCAAATGGGTTCAAAATTTGACAATCCAAGGAAGTGGTATTGTTGATGGTCAAGGCTACAATTGGTGGAATCCCATGAAATCCAAACACATTTCAGATATCAAACCAACTGTAAGACACAACTATTTGATACAAGATTAAGTTAGGTTCATGTATTTTTCACAATGGAATTATTAACAAGGGAAAATGACTTACAAGCCCAACAACGCTTTTAAACCGTTAAAAAAACTTCAATCATGTTTTGTCTGTTCAAGAAAATCCAACGAACGTGAACTTTTGTCTAAAAAAGTCCAACAAAATTTTTCAAACCGTTTAAAAAACCCTAATCATGTTTTGTCTGTTCAAAATGTTAAGTTCGTTGGGTTTTTTAACAGACAAAACATGATTGAGTTTTTTTGAACGGTTTGGAAACTTCGTTGGTCTTACAAGTCATTTTCTCGATATGATAATAAGACATGTCATCTGTTTCTTTTCTTTGACTTCCATAGAATTAAACAAAGGGTTAATGACCTAGAAATGTAACCAACTTCGGTCTTTGTTCACATTTAGGTAACCATGTTTTTTTCGTTCACATTTAACCATTGAACTTGTTTGACCTGTTCAAAATAAAGTAATATCACTGGTAATTACGGTAATATTACCTTATTATGAACAAGTCAAACAAGTTTATTGGTCAAATGTGTACGAAAAAAAACATGGTTATCTAAATATGGAAAAAAACCAAAGTTTCTTACCCATTTTGGTAATACTGGACAAGAACCATCTCAGGGACTGTGCCCTGAAATCAGGCTCCGACATTCAATGAACAATTAGGTTAGGCTTGGTCTAACCCAGTTCAGTCCCGGCTAGTCATGGGCTAGGCTGTGTTGTTAGGTCTTTAAAGCACATACAATCTAGCCCCTTAAGCGTATACAACCTAAACCCTAACTAGTTGGGCCTAAACTGGGTTGGCCCAAGATTTGACTATTTCCTCATACACAAAGACCGGACAACCCAATTTCATGTCACATCAATGGATCTTATGACTACTTGCACTTAACATAAAGAACCCAATATTACCAAAATGGGTAAGAAACTTTGATTTTTGTCCATATTTAGGTAACAATGTTTTTTTTGTACACATCTGACCAGTAAACTTGTTTGTGCTGTTCATAATAAGGTAATGTTACCGCTAATTACCAGTCATATTACCTTATTATGAACAGATCAAACAAGTTCATTGATCAAATGTGTACGAAAAACATGATTACCTTAATGTGAACAAAGACCAAAGTTCGTTACCTTTCTAGTTCATTAACCCTTAAACAAAAGTGTAATTTAGTTGGTTTTTTTAGACAAAATGTTAAGTTTGTTGGGTTTTTTTGAACAAATAAAATATTATTGAGATTTTTTGAACGGTTTAGAAACTCCGTTGGACTCGTAAGTCATTTTCCCTATGGAGCTTTGTTTTTTAACCACAAAAAGACCTACAAGAAAAGATTTTTTTTTTTTGGAGAAAAATCATCTATTCCGCAATATGTGAATGTATTTTGCAATTTATTGATGTATCTCACAATATATATGAATGTGTTTTTAAGCATATAAGTCAAATGCAAAACTTCTATATATAACTTTTTGACTTCATTGATGTCCCCTTTAAGCATGTTAAGTCAAAGAGCTTATTCATGTTTATCAGTTCCGTATATATAAAATGTTTTGTTTTTTTTGTTAAATAGGCATTGAGATTTTATGCAAGCGAAGATATCACTATTCGTGATATCACCATAAATAATAGTCCACAAGTTCATTTGAAATTCGACAACTCTCGAGGAGTCAAAGTCAACAACATTACCATTTCATCACCCGGAAATAGTCCAAACACAGATGGCATTCACCTCCAAAACACACGTGATGTAGAGATCATGTATTCAAATATCGGAACAGGTATTGAAATTTATTTTCAAAATATTAAATGCTTTCAGTTATATGATTGTTTCTTGTTTTGTGTAATAATATTAATTATCATATAGTAATTATTGATTATTTTGTATAATAATATTTGAGTTTATTATAATGTAACAGGAGATGATTGTGTCTCCATACAAACTGGGTGTTCAAATGTTCACATTCATCATATAAACTGTGGCCCGGGTCATGGTATAAGGTACTTGATACAAACCAAAACAGGGCAAAAGAAATATAGTTATTTGAAGTGCTAACTATATTTCAAGGAAATATTTATAGTATACATAAGTGTATATTTATAATGATAGCAATTATAGTGATTCTATTTCAGTTGTAATTAATTTAACTAACTTAAAGAGTCGAGTTTGAACAAAAAGGATGAAAAATAGTGTTCATGATTTACATATTTGATAAGAATTTGAAGAATTTAATCCCAAATAACGTAGTAAATGCCTGAAAGCTATTCTACATGATAAACAGTGCTTAAAAACAAAATTCTACAAGTAATATGCACTTGTAAATCAACACTTGGCATGTGGGCCCTTTATCTGTTTATGTATGCATGCCTCTTTCTTAAACGTTATTCATGCCGTGAGATATAAAATGCTATTACTTTTTTATAAAAAAAAATTGATTGACCTTATCATCACATATAGAAAAAAAAATAACTTCCATACAACAAGTCCTCAACAACAACGTCATCTACATTGCTAACTATTGTCACTAATTCTTTTCTCAAACCGGGCTTTTTTTATACGTATTAATTTTTCTTCTACTTTTGTAACATGTCTTCAGTATTGGAGGATTAGGAAAGGATAAAAGTATGGCATGTGTATCGGATATTTTGATAGAGAATTCTATTATTGAAAACACTCTTTATGGAGCAAGGATCAAGACATGGCAGGTATCTACACATACATTATGCCAATTTCATTCTAAAATGACTTATGTAGGACAACTCGTTAATTTTCACTTGTGTCTTCGACAGGGTGGAGTAGGGGTGGTAAAAAATGTTACCTTTTCAAACATTCAGATAGTAGATGTTAATTTTCCAATAGTAATCAACCAATACTATTGTATCAAGAGCCTTTGTCAAAATCAAACAGGCTCTATAGCCATAAAGGGGGTGAAATTTGACAAAATTGTCGGGACTTACTCAACTCAACCTATCCACTTAGCATGCAGTGATGAAATTCCATGTATAGATATTGATTTAACTGATATTCAATTAAAACCTTCTAGAGGACCACTTGGAGGATCTCAGCTTCAACAAGCATTGTGTTGGAACTCTTATGGGAAATCGAAGGGTCCATTGGTACCATATAGTATCAACTATTGTTTAAGGAAAGGTGGTGATGATTCGATTCACCCAATTTCAGGATCTTCTAATGAATTATGTTGAAGGACAATTAATATGAGGGAAATTTGTGTAGAAAATGTAAATGTTGAAGGACAAGTATGTAAATGTAATGAGCGTATTGACTTTGGGCTCGGATCAGTTGGTGGGCCAAGTCTTTGCTTAGACTAATAGGCGAAGATAGCACGGCAAATTGGCAATGACTTCAAGTGTTAAAAGTGACTTATGTGTGAAGCCATCATTTGTTCAATACATTTGATATTAATTTTAGCATCTTTGATTCTTGAAAAAGTGATAATTTTAAATAACTTATCTACAAAATGGTTTTTTATTTATTACTATTTTTATAGTTAATTGGATAAAAAGTCTCCTAAATTTTATTTAAACGCCTATAATTTATTAAATAATTTTACTCAATTCGTTATTATTATACTTATTGTTATTAATATTACAACAACTTTTATAATTATATTTAATGCATTATATTTTTGTACAATATTATAAAAGGTCATAAATTCTTATGGCACTTGGTAGGCCAACACAACCCCATCTTTAGGGTTTTATATTTAGAAAATCGATCCTATGACTCTTTAATTACCTGTATAATTTTGATTTTCATTTGATATTCTAAAATATATGTTACTGAAAATTTTATTCATTCGACACAAGAAATATAAATGAGATGACTGAATTTATACAAATCATTGATGCAAACATAAAGATTTACAAAGGACAGTCGTTTTCTCGGCCCACAACAGTGTACAACTTTTACTTCAAGAAAATACGGGTCATAATCAAACGATGTCTATGAGTACACACCAAAGCATTTTTCTTAGACTTTTGGAAAGGGTATAAATACAATTACACAATAGTAGGAGGGGTTTCATAATTAGATGGAATCGGAGCAGATGAACCTTTTTTGCCTCTTTCAGTTCTACTATTATCGGCAAATTTCAAACTCATTTTGTGAAATCCTTGTTCTTTTTCAGCTTTAGTCCATTCGGATAGATAATAATCTTGTTCTGTGGATCCTTTTTTAGGTCCACAAAACAACCCGCCCCATTGCGGGAAGTATATAAAGAGAATTGGAAGTGTACAACACATCATCATTACTCCCATTAGAGTCATACCTTCTTCTGTTGAGTATCTTGACCCCCTGAAGAATATCACTTGTGTCAAAACAGCCCCTACGTTTCCTCCACCACCGGTCATACCTGAAATCACACCTAATGACCTGAAAATAGAAGAAAATTCATTATCATATAAATTAAGATAAATAAAACAATACTTTAAAAGTAAAACATCAATGTGTATATTACGTGTGAATAAAAAGTTTGTTTTCAAAAGGTGGGGATCGATATTGGGCCTACTGGTAGTAATTGTGTAGCAAGCAAATTCATATAAGAGTTCTTTAGTTTAGTCAAACATTTGACTAAATATTATAAATTGTAGTCAATGAAGAATATTCAAGTCCCCAGATTCCTTGTATTTAAAAAATATATCTTTCATAGAATTTAGTTGCAATATAATATAATATCTTAACAAAATATAGAAAATATAAAATAAGATCTTACACATAGAATAATAATTTTTTGTTTTCATTTATTTTCTATGATCGGTATCTTTCTCTAATGAATTAAGCATGAAGCATTCGGCGAGTCAAGTAAATAACGACAAAAGAAAATTAAAATAATAACGTTTGAATATGATTTTTCCTATTTTACATTTGCTTACGGAGCGAGTAATTACAAAATATCATTATTGTATTTGATTTCAATTTTTTTTTAAAAAAATCAATATAATTATATCACATTTAAAAATATTAATTCACAAACTTCGAACATTTATTATAATTATATTTGATTATCTTTTATAAAACAAATAAACAAATATATATATATATATATATATATATATATATATATGTTTTCATGTAAAATATCTCAAGGTTCTAAATTATGGTACCTTTTTTATCTAAACTTTCTAAATTATACAAAGGTGACTTGCCATTTGCCAAGACATTTATGATAATTATAGTTAAACATTTATTATCTTTTATAAAACAAAGATATGCATTTTTATGTAAAATAGTTCATGGTTCTAAATTATTGTATCTTTTTAACTAAACTTTCTAAATTATAGAAAGGTGACTTGCCATTTGCGAAAACTTCGGGTTGATTTTTAAACTTTAGAAATAAGTTGTATAAGTTATTTCGACTCATTTAACCTCTTTAGCTAGTTTTTTTTATACATTTAGAAGTAGAAATAAAATATGATTAAATTAAGTTGTTCATAAATAAAATTAATTGAAATTATTAATAATAAGATAAAATATAATTAAAATCCATGGAAATAACATTTACGTACCTACGGGAGACGAAAGGGACGACACCGAACGTAAGTCCACAAGCAGCTTGAACAAATACAGAGAACACAAGCATCACGGCAATGGAGGCGCTCAAAGATCCAACCTTCCCTAGTAACAAACACAGCAACCCTCCGATCATCTGCACCACCCACAGCGTCCACAACCTTCCCCTCATTCCGAACCTCTTCGCCACCACATCTGACAATATCCCTCCACCGGGCCTCGAAAAAAGATTCGCCAGTCCAAAACTCGCAGCGATTATCCCCGCCGTGTGCAAATTCACATTGAATCGATCGTAGAAATACTGCGCGATTATATTATCAATGGTTAGCTCCACCCCGAAACAATACCCGTAAGTCAAGGCCAAGATCCATCCTCTGTAATTGGTGATGGCGTGGTAGAAGACTTGTGAGAAGCTATCTTTGTGTTTCTCGCCGGAGTTTTCGAGTCTGACGTAGTTCCCGTCCGGCATGTCTTGTCCCAGGAAGAAAATGGCAAACGCACTAAGTGTTTGAAAAATTGCCGGAATGAAAAATGCGATTCGCCAAGCGGTGAATTTTGTTGAACCGATGTGGGAGTGGATTAGAGAGTAAACGAGTGGCATGATTAGTTGTGTAGCTCCTCCGCCGAGGTTACCCCAGCCGCCGGAGAGTCCATTGGCGGTGCCAACAACTCCTGGGGAGAACATGGAGCTCATCCAGAACTGGGTGGAAACAAAGGTGGCTAAGGAGAATCCGGTGAAGAAACGGACCATTAAGAAAGCCGCCGGAGAGTTGGCGATGGCGCTAAGGAACACCGCCGGAGCTGTGAGGAGGATGAGGGAAGAGGAGGCGAGGCGAGGACCGAACAGGTCACATGCAGTCCCCATAGCAACACGAGCAAAAACAGCACCAGAAACGGCGGCGATCCCAGCATTGCCAATGTCGGTGGCCGTTAAATTAAGATTATCACGGATGATCGGAAGGAGTGGGGGAGCAGCGAAAGTAGAAACGAAGCAAGCGAAGAAGGATATCCATGAAAGATGGAATGCTCGCATGTGAGGGGTAGCCACTGAAAACAACCGGAACACGGTGGCCTTGTGTTCGGAGTCAACCGGAAGTGCAAATTTCCGATCATTGTTGTCGGAATTCTGAGTAACCTCCATTATATTTCGAAAAAAACCCAACTTTATTTGAACTTAAAGATGATTTTGGGGGGAGTTATATCAGGCAAAAACAAGATACAAAGAAAGGCTTTTGCTGAATATAGAAAAGTTAACTGAGGCTGAAAAACAAACAGTTGGTGTTCGTTTTTGTGTGTGGAAGTCGGCAGAGGGATAATTCGGGTATAAGTACAAGAAAGCTGAGAGTCGGAAAACTGTGAACGGCAACCAACTGGCCTTTGAGATTGGTTAAAGTTTAAAGCTTTTGTCAGATTATGATGTCCGTCCGCTATTTCTTGTCATTCTCACATGTAGTCAGTTAACTCAAAAGTCTACTACTACATTAGTACATGTATGTATGTACATATATAAATACATCCATACATATGTACATACATAGGTGTTGATAAGTGTTCTTTTATTGGAATAATTTCAGAGATGTTGTAAGGCTAAAAGGAATGGTAGCATATGGTAGCATGTGCTAAACCATTGTCACATCATATTTTTTATGCTCACCAAGTATAGGTTGATGATATTGAATGATGATGTGTTTAAAAGATAAAACCTTTTATTTCTTAAATCAAATAAATGTTTATTTAAATATTAAATTAATATAGACTTTAACAAGGTACAAGTTATTAAGCAGAATTTACAACTATTTAAAGCTGAAACAATGAAATGGTGAGAAGGAGACCACCTACTATCTTTTCCATCTTCTCTTTCATCTCGTCAAGTGCTTGGCGAGACAATGTTGGCACATGGGTTTAACAATTGTAAAGGTGTGGTAGCACTAGTCCATGTAAGCATAGTGAGTAAGCATAGCGAGGGAGTTGGCGAGGCCACTCCCTCTAGCCTAATAGCTATCCGGTTCCCAATTCTTTATTTTAGCAAAGTCGATCGGTTCCCACGTCTTTTGATACTGATCCACTTCGGACCGGTTATAGAATCATGTAGTACAGTAGTGCTTAGTTTGACAAACTAATAGAGCTTTATAAAATGACTTTTTCCAAAGCCAATAACGAGATTTTAAAGAGTGATAAAAAAACCCTTCAGTTTTAAAATAACTATAACAGCATACGGTGTGGGACGTCGTTACGACGTTTTTGCTGAGGTGGAGAGTCGATAACGCCATTGTAACACGGTGGCCACCGCCCCGACGATCTCGTTAAGGTGGTGTTAAGCGTCTACGGTTGTAATGAGCACGAGCGAAAACAAGAATTGTGATTGGTCCATTGTATTTGAACGTTAAATTGTTACCGTCTGATTAAAAAAATATTTTTTTATCTATAAATACCTATTATCTACCATAATTTTATTCACAAAATTCTCCTATTTCTCTATACAATTTCAAAACTTTTCAAAAAAAAATTATAGATTCTTTCGACTCGTCCGAATATGACGGTGATGATATATACATCACTATGATATACCAGTATTACACTAACGAAATGCTACAACCAGACTCAGTCCCTCTATTCATATGATGTGCGATGTTAAACAGAGATCGTGAGGCTGGAGCCGAACGTCTATATCGAGATTACTTTGCAGAAAATTGTGTGTACGGGTCGGATGGGTTCGAAAGAAGATTTCGTTTGAATAGGAATGTGTTCCTACGTATCGCCAACGTCTTGGAAAGCAGGTATCGTTTGTTTAACTTTTACATATTTATCACAAAATAAATACAAATTTTTACATAATATATATGTTAGGTATACATTTTTGCAATTGATATATGATGTTAGAGGTATGCGGGGATTTACAACGTTGCAGAAATATGTTGCGGCGATTCGTTTGATGGCTAAGGGGGAGTCACCTGATACCATGGACGATTATATGAGAATGTCCGAAAGAACTGCACAGGAGAGTTTGAATAGATTGTCAAAATGTGCTTTTGAAACATTTACAGAGGTATATTTGCGAAAACATTTGTTGCATGTGATGGGTTTTGAGCATAACAAACAATCTTATGTGTGCATGCAACCTTAAATTTGATCTACGTTTTCTCCAATTGAACATACAATGTGAACAACAATGTAGAAACCCTAGAACACTAGTATATAATCAAAATATATAATTAGGATACAAAACATACCTTTGATTGTTATATAGCAATAACAATCCAAATCCTTAATGTTGTTGATGATGAGTTTTGAGCATTCTAACACTCCTATGGTGTACATGCAACCCTAGATACTTTGGATCTATGTTTTCTCTATTATACATGCATACATTCAATATTCCAAAGCATCATCCTAACTAGCATACAATGAAGCATAAACAACATAAAATACAAGTTAGATGACATACCTTTTAGTGTAGTTGGAACCTTGGAACTTTAAGAACTTAGTGCCTCAAGTGTTGCACCTCAAATGGAATCACACAACACCACCAACAATGGAGGAACTTGAGAAAGTTCACTTGCACTCATAAAATCGGCTTGCCCTCTTGTGTTTCCACTAGTGCAAATTTCATGAGCTAGAGGGGTTCTTATATAGTGTGGCTTAATTAGGGTTACACCATGAAAACCCTAATGTGCATGACCTTCCATATTCCTCATGCTCCATGGGTTTAAACCTCCATGGATCATCCATGGGTTACCACATGGGTTTAGCCCAACATAAGGAACTATGGATCACAAGCCCACATTATAAGAATGAATGATTTACATAATCAATCTCATATATTTAATGAGTCTCTTTTGATCACAAAATTAATTCCAAACTAATTCTTGATTAATACTAATTAAATAATATGATTTCATATTAATATATTAGAACTTATAATATATTAATAAATCATAAATAACCTCTTCTCAATTATCCATCCTTCATATTGTTCCGGTGCCATGCAACCCAAATGGACCATGCTACTCTCGGGTCAAGTACATACCGATTATAGTTATGGACTTAGACACTAATTCAACAGTCTCTCACTTGGATAAGTCTAATAACTATTATTGCAAGTACGACTCCACAACCCGACTAGCAATCATAGCTCTTAAAAGTCACTGTCGAACTCTAACCTAGTCAATGACGCGTCCATTAGATAAGGGATCATATATTCCTCCATTCTAGATATCGTATGGACTGAGACATGGATTATAATCATTCTCTCTGTCCATCTGTTGTTTCCCGATTTCCGATTTATGACGACTGACTAACTGAACAAATGAAATCAGTCCAGGCTTGGCCAAGCACTTAGGGGTGTCATCACTAAATCATCGAGGGCCCACATATATTGCTTTTATCCCTCCAAGGGTAAAAGGAATGGATAAACTTCGACTCGTATGTTTGCTCTATCTACTCATCAAATCACAAACAACGATATGTTTTATAACACCGAATTACCGGTGCGTTTACATATCATCAATGTGCAACCGACTTGTAGACTGCAACTCATATCTTTCCGTTTGAAGAATATAATATATTATTGTCTCTCGTGATAAAATCCATGAAGTGATTCAAATGAGCTTGGGTTGAATCCAATACTCGAATCTTATTCCATGAACACTCATGAACACTGCAGCTATGTCCTAGACAAACTACAGACCCATTCATGACAGTATTGCCTCAATACCTACTTCCAAAGTATGATCAACTATGGATGGTTTGAATAACCTAGTTATTCGGGAAGTCAAAACATGCAAAGTGAAACACAAGAATAATACTAACCCTATATGGCCCAAAAACTTTTGAGTCATATTGATTACTCATTATTCATTGTATAATGTGTCGAATAATCAACTTAATACTTGAATTAAAACAATAGTCATGCCATGCTCCAAGAATGCACACTACGTTTGTCTAAACAATAGCTATGCCATGCTCCAAACATGCACACTATGTTTGTCTATGGTCCTTGCTTTGTGAAGTAGATCAATTGAACACATCTTCAATGAAACTCATTTCACAATTCCAAATCTTTATCACCAGTGTAAGAACTCCAAATTCTTGTCACTGCTAGAATGTGTTAGATTCTAAACTATCATGCAATGATTCCTTTGTAACGTCTAGGTACCAAAAGTCACAGAGACTTAACCAACGATATTACAAAGTATTCCTTTGGAGATTGTTACAAGAAAATTCCATGGAAGCGAAGTCTCAAATTCAAAGTACATTCCTTTGAACATCCTTCTTGCATAAAAGTTTCTAACCACAGATTCTTAATATCCAACACCCAATATGGAAACATTCCATATTTGCCATATGACAACTCATTGTTAACAGAATACTTTCTATTTATAATAATGTCGATATAGTCCATCCATTACTATACTTCCAACTGTCTTTAAGCGACCAATCCTTGGTGAACCTTAGATTGTCCTTTTAACAGTCGTTTAACCAATTTAGTCATATCCGGTTCTGGCCCTTTTTCCCTCTTAATGCCCTAGGCATTTGGAAAATTTAGAACGGATGAGTATTATAGCACATGTAATCGATCCTATACCCGAAACATATTGGACACGATTCATGATGTCTCACATAAAGACATGATACTTGACCAGTCTTTTGCTATAATGTTTTTATTTGCCATGTTCTCACAATTTGAGTTATGAAAAAGGGATGCCGTAATCATAATCGAATTTTGAGAACGCAAGTAACATTTCCATATATAGAATTTCCTTATGTTGAACCATTCCAACATAACATTCATATATATTTGACTAAATTTGATTAAAATCTCACAATCTAAGCTTTTAGATTTGAGATGAAGTACAATTTCCTCTCCCTTAATTATAACAAAACAACTTTTTTCCAACTCTGCGACTTTGCGAATTGAAAATCTTGTTTTCTATAATTAACATTGCTAACTTGCAACATTCACCATAATTGATTATGCTCCCACTAGCATAATATTTACATCCTTATTAGCATAACACTTATGCTCCCACTAGCTTTGACATGTACTCAGAAATCAGCTAGACTTCTAGAAATCAACACTTTGTTGACTTTCTTACCAAAGTTCAGATTTCTGATATGAGATGCTTTGATAAGACTTTATCTAGGCCTCTCAAACTCATACGCCTTTCCTTAGATAGCTCACATGTGTGTCTAAGCAATTTAAGAACTTACAGCAATAAGTCTCCAATGTTTAGACCTTTTGCCATTTCTCACAATTCGAATTATGAAAAGGGATGTCGTAATCATAATCAAATTTAAGAATGCAAATATCACAATTGCTATCTCCTTAAAATCTACTTAGTGAAAGCGTTTCCTCACCATCATTTTCATGAATCGGAGAGAAACCTTATGACACTTAGATTTTAGGGTGTATGTGTTCCTATCCATATGAATTTGTCAAACCATAATCAAAAGACAAGGTTAGTGACAAATCCAAACTCATATGG